CCTCCCTCCTCTCTCCGCCTCCCTCCCTGCCGGGCTGTAGCAGCCGCAGGGTCAGTGACCCAACCGCAGCTTCCACAGACACGGCACCCCCCGCGGGGCTCCCCGAGGACGGGCCCGGGCGCTCCCGTGGCATCATCGCTATGGCGACAGGCCTGGGGAGCAGGGTCCCTCCCGCCTCTCACCCAGCGACTGGTCCCCGGGATGCGCCGGGACTGAATGGCTGGAGGCAGAGCTCCAGGGGGGTGTGGGGTAATGGCAGACGCTCCAGCCCGAGTCCTGCCCACAAGCACATGCAGCCGGGCAGCCCCTTGGCACCCCAGCACTGGCCTTCCCCACAGCCCGGCCTTCCCCACTTGACCCCCCAGCACACGGCTCGTCCAGAGTCATGGGGATTTTGTAACAGGCCTCATGGTTTTCTCCTTCCCTTTCTAGTGTGGAGAAAGCAGCCCCCCCCAGCCCTATGGGGGGGAGGAACTAGGGGCTCCCACAGCCCAGCCTGTACCCCAGGGACCGGATCTCAGGGGGGCAACAGCTTGTATGTGACCAGCCTCTGCTGGGGAGCGAGAGGAGCTTTTGAGAGGCTGTTGGGCGGACGCCAGGCTACACAGCCCCACAGGCCGCACCCTCACATACTTTCCCTGGCAGGAACTCAGGGATGGAGCTTTTTGTTGCTGACTCCCTGCCAGCCCCGCTTCCTGCCTTCCTCCCATTTCTGGGAAATGGCTTTTGCTTTTGGTTTCCACCCACACATTGAAATTCATGCTCCCAGCTGGATGACTAAGCACAAATCACTGCAGCCTAAGGCCCAGGCTCTGGCCACAGACCAGCAGCCCCTGTCCCTGTCCCTGATGCGGAGACGACTGAAATCTGCAGGGTGGGAATTGGGAAAGTAACACTTTGCTGCAAGCTTGTTGTGCTGGGCACACAGGGCTCCGCATGGGCCACCACCCTGCCTGGCAGGCTTGACTGCACCCTGTCCCCCCCCCACCCACAGGATCATTCCCCGACCTGTCCCCTACCCCGCCAGCAGCAAACACAGTCCAACCGCCCCCTGAGAACTGTGCTGTCCCTGCGGTGCACCAGTTCCAACAGGAATCCCCCTGGGCATATTCTCTGGCCTCTGCCGTTCCAGCCAGACTAGCTGGTCCCTTCTGCCCTCGCATCCTACCCAGGAGGAGCCAGCTACCGTCCCCCTCTGCCTGATTTGCATTTGCTGTGCAGGGGTTTGGAGATGGATTTCCTGCCTCTCCGGGAGCATCCCAACCCCTGGCCCAGAGCCCCCCTCCTCGGGCCAGTGAGTTTGTCGTGACTGCTGCGCAGTGGAACAGCTTCTGCCGGCGGGAGACCGAGAGGCCCAGCGGAGACTGTCTCTGGTAGAAGCCTCCTACGGTCCCACGGTTTGGGGACTCACCGTGCACTGCCACCGGGGGGGGGCTCCCACGACTCTGGGGATGGCAACACTGCACAGGGAGTATCCTTGGACCAGCCTCGGCTGCGGGCTCCAGGCCTCCGTCCCTGCAGGGCTGGCGCTGGCGTTTGGCGCTTTTAACCCCAAGTCTCTTATTTCCCGTTTCCTCCACTTGGGAGTCTCCTGCTGGCGCCAAGTGTCTGCGATTCGCCGACTGGCTGCCCTGGGCCAGCTCTCAGGGCGTCGAGACGTCTGCTGAGGAGGAACAGAGCCGCAGCCACACGGGGGTGTGAGTCCCTTCTGGGTCGCTGGCCTCTGAGGAGCCCGTGTTGGGGCGGACATGCTGTTCCCTGCACTATGAAGGGTCGATACAGACACACGGAGCTGGTTGCTAAGGGGAGGTGGCTTTAATCAGCCAGTGCCTGGGGCTGGTACCCCCATGGAAGCGCGTGTCTCGACCTGAAGCTTCCGGTTGTTTTGTTTTGATTTGATTAGAACAAGCCAGCTCCAGCCGCCTGCACCAGTGTCATTTTATCACTGCAGGCCCCGCCTTGTCGGCCCTCTCCCTAATGAGGTGTCACTGTCTCTGGAGTGTGTGTAGCCTCTGCCTGCCACCAGTGAGTGTGTCTGCACCATCGGCCTGTTCGTGCGAGTGTGGTGAGCTGGCCCTGACCCTACGCCAAGTCCTGCCCATTAGAACCCAGGCCTGCGGCTTCTGTTTCAGTCCCTCAGCTCTCTCCAATTGGGTGTTTAAAATGTCTGATTGTTCTGGGCGTCCCCTCCTGCGGTGCCGGCTGTGAGCGGGAAACTTCCAGGAGCCGTTCACCTCACTCAAGTTCCCCATCTCGGATCGCCCTGGGCAGCGACCGGCTTGTATCGATCCTTCAACTGGCTCTTTCCATTAGTCCCCAGGTCTCTGTGGGAGCAGCGGCGTGGCACTTTGGTTGCGTTGTTACACTCCATTGTCAGATCCATGCCCCGGAGAGCGGAGGGGTTTCCCTATCCTGTTAATTGCGATGAAAGCCCCTGCGATGCCCTGTCACCCCGCCCAGGCGTGGAAGGTGTTAACCCCAGGAATGGGCAGTGGGGACAGGCCCCCTCCCCCAAGCACCCTAGAGGCTGGGCTGGATGCAGCCAATCAGGGCCCAGTAGACTCACAGAAGAGAAGCTGCTGCGGTACCTTGGACAGTCACTACCTGGTGCTCAGGGAGGGAGCTCTGGGTTCCTAGCAGGTGGATGGAGGCTAGAACAGGGACAGAGCAGTTTCTGGCAGGCACAGGGGGAGTGACAAGGGGCTTGTAGTGGGCTGCAAGGCCAACATGCCTGATTTCTGCCAGGGGTTGGCAGGACCAAGCCTGCCCCCTCTAGGCTGGGCAGTTCACAGCCCTGGATCCTCCGGGTTTCATGCGCCAGCTATAAATGTAGACAAATTCCTGGTGCCCCGGCACCGCTTCCATTACACTGTAAACACTGTGTAAGAGATGGTGGAGAGGCTGGGGCGGAGGATGCAGCTATGGGGGAGACAGCTCTGTGCCAGAGTGGGGGGGCTGGGCCTGCCGGGCAGGGTCCGTGGCTGGACTGCGCTGCAGCAGTTGGGTCAGGAATGGAGGAGAGCAGGGAGGAGGAACAAAACTGCCATCCACTCCCCGCCCCACACACAGCGCCTGAGGGCCCCGGCTTCCCTCTCTAAGCCCCCTTCCCTCGAGTCCAGTTCAGCTCCCCTACCACCTCTCCTCTCCCCCTCCCCCCCAGCATCCTTCTCTTAGTCATTATCTAAGGGGCTATTTATGGGACAGAAAATGGTTATATAAAAGAAAGGGGCTTGAAAAGCAGCCAGCCAGAGCCAAGGAGAGGAGCAGAGAAGTCCCGGGCAAACAGCCAGCGCAGCTGCAGGACTTCAGACTCTGCCAGAACTCAGCGCCTGCAGCCTTTCCCAGGAGAGGTAAGAGACGCTCCTCTGTCCTGCTGCTAGTAAACTTGCATGGACAGTAGAACGGCTGCAGCGTTAGAGACACTAATGTTACCAGCTGCCTGCTCCCCACACAGCACAGTTGGATCCAGACCTATAGAATCAGGCAACAGCAGAGAAGGGGGGAAAGTGAACTACAAAAAAGAATAATTATAGGGTACGTCTACACTGCACGCTCATTTCGGAATGAGCTGTTCCGGAAGAAATACTCCAAAATAGTGTATTTCGAAATATCACGTCCACACTTTGGGGAAGCCTCGAAACTAGTCCAAGGTAGGCTCCATTCATAGGGATGCGCTTCCTTAATTCGAAGCCCCAGGAAGCACCGGGAAGGAATGACTCTAAATGGTCCAGGGAACCACACTCCCGCTATTCCGAAATAGCTTTGGGAAGAGGCGTTATTCCTCCTGGAATGAGATTTGAAAATGCGGAAATAAGCTGCTTGGTATTTCGAAATGATTTTGAAATAACGGGCCGGCTGTGTAGACGCTCGCAGAGTGATGCTGGAAGAAGGGATGTTACTCTGAAATAACGCGGCTGTGCAGACACACCCAGAGAGATGTGGGACTCGAAGGAAACTGTCTCTGTGCTTGTTTCATTCACACCGAGATGGTTAGAAGCTGCATTTTTCTTCTGTGCAGTGAAGCCTCAAAGCTGTGTTGACTCATCAGGCAGGGTGAATTTTTGACAGAACAAGCAGACCGGCTTGTTCAGAGCTAACGGGCATTTCAGAGCGGCAGGTGGTCTCCAGTCCTGGGTTTTCTAACCCCGAGTGATCGCCACACCCACAGCAGGGCAAAAGCCAAATACTGCAATAGTGAGAGAAGTAGCTGTGTTAGGCTGATCTTGGTAAAACAAAAGGAAAAATGATGTAGCACTTTAATGACTAAGAAGATAGTTTATTAGGTGATGAGCATCTGTGGGGCAGAAAAGTCTTTGAAGTGCTACCTCATTTTGTTCATTAGTTTTACCAAATAATCCCCCAGAGAGCGAGTGGCTGAATTCCTGTCTTCTAACCTGGATGAGTGACTCCTTTCCCTGGTGGGTTGGTGGGTTCTGAGCCCCCTCGGCAGCCAGACTCTTCCTCTGCCTCCCTCCTGCCCCTGACTCTCGCCCTCGGGTGGCTCCAGTGACCAACTCCTCCCCTCCGGTCCAGCAACACACCTCCCCCCAGTCAGAGGGGAAGTCGGTGCCTATGCAGTGAATTTGCTGACGCTGCACAGACAGGGCTTTGCTTTCTGGGGCAGAGAGAATGGGGCGCCCAGCCTGGATTCCTGGAGATGAAAGAACTCTCCAGCTGTTCCTGTGCCACCAACTGGGAAAGCAACGTCACACTCGCTGTCTGCGCCATCCCAAGGGCAAAGAGCCCCAGAGGGGAATGGGTATTTGGGATTCTCCAGGTATGTCACCATTTAGATGACGTGCGTTACTCCTGGGCATGCGAATAAGCTGCCCCGTGTTAATTCTCTGTAGTTGACTCTGATATAAGCTCCACTGTAGAATGTGCATGTATAAAATACTAGAAGATTGACGTGGCTTTGCTCAGGTCCTTAAATGAAATCAGTTTGGGGTTTTTTCCTTTAAATCGTGGTTCCCAGCGTGTGGTCTGCGATGGTGCCGGAGGGGTCCATGGAATGTTTCAAATAGACCGGAAAATCAACGTGCAGTGATTAAAAACACGTATCATTGTGCACGGTGGATAGAAACACTTATGGGGGGACTGTAACATCTTAACAGATTGAAAAGGGTCCGTAGGCTCGAAAAGGTTGGGAGCCACTGCTCTCAGGAGGAGGGGTTCAAGGTGCAGGCTGCCCTGGGGAGAGAGGATAACCCCAGCCCTCTCTCACTGCAGCAGCTTGGTGCCTGGTGAGAAGCGTATCTCCATGGCCACGCAGCTGCCGTGGGCGCAGCTGAGGAGGGGTGGGTGTCCCCCAGCTGGGGGACTGATAGACACTCAGACAAACAGACACAAATTTCCTGAAGGGGGGTTCCAAAGAGAGGCTGGGTATGTCTACACTAACCCGCTAGTTCGAACTAGCAGGGTAATGTAGGCATACCGCACTTGCAAATGAAGCCCGGGATTTGAATTTCCCGGGCTTCATTTGCATAAGCGGGGAGCCGCCA